AATTACAGGAGCAGAAGCAAAAGAGATTTTGGAAATCAGTGGATTGCCTTCAGGAGGTGAAGACTCATCAGGCATGGTATCTGGGAGTTTAGACATCAGTGGTGAGCCTTCTGGGCATGTAGACTTTGGTGGGAGTGTTTCTGGAGTGCTCGAGATGAGCGGACACCCGAGTGGAGTGATTGACAGCAGCGGAGAAGTCTCTGGAGTTGATGTCACCAGTGGCCTACTGTCTGGAGAGGAAAGTGGACTCACCTCTGGCTTTCCCACAGTCTCTCTTGTGGATACCACTTTGGTGGAAGTTGTAACACATACATCAATTGCACAAGAGGTGGGAGAAGGGCCATCCGGGATGATAGAAATCAGTGGATTTCCTTCTGGAGACAGAGGACTATCTGGAGAAGGGTCTGGAGCTGTGGAGACTAGTGGGTTTCCTTCAGGGACAGGAGACTTCAGTGGAGAGCCATCCGGGATCCCGTACGTCAGTGAAGACATTTCTGGAGCCACAGATCTAAGTGGACAATCTTCATCAGTGACTGATATTAGTGGGGAGGCCTCAGGGCTTCCAGAAGTCACTTTAGTCACTTCTGATTTAGTAGAAGTTGTGACAAGACCAACAGTATCACAGGAACTTGGTGGGGAAACAGCTGTCACATTTCCCTACGGTTTTGGGCCAAGCAGTGAGGCCTCTTCATCTGGTGAACTAAGTGGGGAAACATCTGCATTGCCAGACAGTGGTGTAGAAACATCAACAGCTTATGAGATCAGTGGTGAAACATCTGCATTTCCTGAACCTAGCATAGAAACATCCACAATTCACGAAATCAGTGGGGAAATATCTGCATTTCCTGAAACTAGCATAGAAACATCCACAATTCACGAAATCAGTGGGGAGACATCTGCATTTCCTGAGTTTAGCATAGAAACATCAACAATTCAAGAAATCAGTGGAGAAACATCTGCATTTCCTGAAATTATCATAGAAACATCCACAAGTCAAGAAGCCAGGGGTGAAACATCTGGCTATCCTGAAATTAGCATAGAAACATCCACAGTTCAAGAAGTAAGTGGGGAAACCTCTGCGTTTCCTGAAAGTGGCACAGATACATCCACCATACAAGAAATCAGTGGGGAAACGTCTGCATTTCCTGAAATTAGAATAGAAACATCCACCATTCGAGACATCAGTGGGGAAACGTCTGCATTTCCTGAAATTAGAATAGAAACATTCACAAGTCAGGAGGCCAGGGGTGAAACATCTGGCTATCCTGAAATTAGCATAGAAACATCCACAGTCCACGAAACCAGTGGAGAGACATCTGCCTTTCCTGAAATCAGCATAGAAACTTCAACAGTCCATGAAATTAGCGGAGAAACATCTGCCTTTCCTGAAATTAGCATAGAAACATCCACAGTCCATGAAATTAGTGGGGAAAGTTCTGCATTTCCCGAAATTAGAATAGAAACATCCACAAATCAAGAAGCCAGGGGTGAAACATCTGGTTATCCTGAAATTAGCATAGAAACATCCACAGTCCATGAAACCAGTGGGGAAGCATCTGCATTTCCCAAAATCAACATAGAAACTTCGACGGTCCACGAAATCAGTGGAGAAACATCTGCCTTTCCTGAAATTAGAATAGAAACATCCACAAGTCAAGAAGCCCGGGGTGAAACATTTGCCTTTCCTGAGATTAGCATAGAAACTTCTACAGTCCATGAAATCAGTGGGGAAACATCTGCATTCCCAGAAATTAGCATAGAAACACCAACAAGTCAAGAAGCCAGGGGTGAAACATCTGCCTATCCCCAAACGAGCATAGAAACATCCACAGTTCAAGAAGTAAGTGGGGAAACCTCTGCGTTTCCTGAAATTAGAATAGAAACATCCACAAGTCAAGAAGCCCGGGGTGAAACATCTGCATTTCCTGAGATTACCATAGAACCATCCACAGTCCACGAAACCAGTGGAGAAGCATCCGCATTGCCTGCTGCTAACATCGAAACAGCTGCCACATCTTTGGCCGGTGGTGAGCCCTCTGGTGCTCCCGAGGAGAAGGAAATTCCTGACGTAACATCTGGAGCTGTGACACACTCGATTGCAGGCATTTCAGGGGAAACCTCTGTCCCAGACGTTGTAATTAGTACCAGTACTCCAGATGTTGAACCAACACAGGGACCCAGGAACCCTGAAGAGGCTCAGCTCGAAATAGAGCCCTCCCCTCCTGCAGTGTCAGGACAAGAGACAGAGACAGCTGTTGTTCTAGACAATCCCCATCTGCTGGCCACCGCTACTGCTGCCCTGCCTCAAGTCTCACAAGAAGCAATAGACGCATTAGGACCCACTAGAGAAGGTACCGTGTCTTCTCGTACGGAAGCGAACGCGCTGTGGAGGGGATGGGAGGGAGGAGGCATAGCCGTCACAGTTTGCTGCTTCTACCACAGAGAACATTTAACACAGAAGGAGGCTTGAGCAAAATATTACTGTGGTGGGAAGCCATAAACATGTGGGGTTTTCCACAGGTTGTGTTCAATAGCTTCTGTCTTAACAAATGGTAGTCTGTGTTTGGGCAGATAATGCAATTATCCAGCCAGCATAACCACGTCCGCAGAAGCCTCCTGGACCTCCCTCCTGCCTGCCCACGGCAATTACATGCCCCTGGGAAGAGCAGCAGAGGACCAGTTCAAGGGAAGCACCAGGAGATGCGTACCTGGCCTTCCCCCACCGCACCATAGCAGTAGGCATCGTTCGCTCCTCTGAGTTGCTGTTCCTGGTGGACGTGGCTGCGCCCCAGGTGGGGTGGCTGTGTGATGAGCAGCCTGGTGGAGCTGGCACCTGCCAGGAACATGATGGAGGCTTGTGCCCCCCAGGATCTTGGATCTGCTTGTGCCCCCCAGGGTACCCGCGTGATCGCTGGGACATAGGTGAGCTCTCCCCTCTGTGCTGCCAGAGGTGGGGGCTCAAAAAAGAGTATTCTGTGAATAGTCATTGAGAGCCGCTGTGACCAGGCTCCTGGGTGTGACATAGCTGGGGAAGGCACCAGGGCATTCACCCCCCCTTTGAAATTGCTCTTAGCCATTGCTATAATCTAGAGAAAACAACAACTTTTTCTTCTCATGTGGAAACAAGAGCAAAGACGACTCCACCCGCCAGAGACTTCCACCCTGGCTAGTGGATGCAGCTGAGAAGTTGGATAAGACAGGCTGCAAGTCTCTGTCCTGTTTTGTTTCTCTTTCGTTGATGTGTTGACTTGCTCCCTGTATCCCCGAGTGTTTCACAGCACTTGCTCTGGAGTGGGAGGCTGGCCATCAGCAGCTTCGCACTGCTGAGGGGTAAGAGGCAAAGCAAGCCAGCTGGGGGCAAAAATCTCTGCTCTCAGCATCATCTGTGCCGAGTGCGATGTTTGCATCGGGCAAACTGCTCCGGTCCCTTGGGCACAGAGCGTGGGTGCCCTCTGGTCTGTGCCTTACGCTGCTCTCTGCAGCTAGAAGGGGCTGAATGTGTGAGATGATGCTCAGAGCGTCGCTACCTTTTGTCAGCTCTGCTGATAAATGCCTTTCCTTCCACCCTGCCCCTTTTTTGGTGTTTTAACGCTCTGTCTTCCGTAGGACCCCTTGCTGCCAAGTATACTCAGATACAATATTTAAATCTGAGTAACCATTTATGGTGAAAACACTCTGCTAGCTTTCTGACAAGCATCCCCCGAGCAGTGTTCACGCACCGTGGAGGCATTAGGATACTGCAGTGAGAAGAAAACGAGATGGGACGTTGTTGTGCGTGCTTCTTGGCCAAGGGAGGAGCCCAGTCCCGGTAACACAGGATGTCCCGCAACATCCCTGGCCACAGCTTGGTTTCACTTTGCTGGCTCCTGGGGACAGGCCCCATTTCAAAACCATCAATGCTTGTGCTGTATGAAGGTCCTACATATGCTCGGTTCTCAATGGGCCACAAGTTCATGTAGGACGTGTTGCTTAAGTATGGTACAAAATGTATGTGCAAAGAGATTTGCTCAGTTCCTTCTAGCAAAAGTAATATTAATTCCACCCCCTTCCCACGTTACCTCCCGAACTGCTTCTGTTTTGGTTAATTTACACCATTCAGCACAGGTAGCTCTGGATTCAGTAAAGGTCTGTAAGTGCAGGACTTTGTGAAGCTCAGCCTGGTTTCTAACAGCATTTCCATCCCCAAAGCGTTTTGAACGAGTCACTGCATTTCCCTCTACGTCACTTCTCTCCCTCTGAGAAAACAGGTAATCACAAACCTTTGTTCAGTCCTGCTCGTAACACATTTGAGGTCCTGTCTGTCTCTGCTGAGCAGCTGCACAGCGGATGCTGCAGGAGTGGGTGAGGGCAAGTCAGTGGGGTCGTTCCCACAGCACTGGTCCAGCCTGGCACGGTGTCCTGCAGGGTGCTGCAGGAGTTACGTGCCCAAAAGCCCTCCTTGCACACCTAGTGGGCTCTGCTTTTCAGCCATGCCCGCTGCCACATCCAAGCCTGGAGACAAAAACAGGCCAGCAAAGGCAGGGTTGAGGGGAAGGAAGGAAAGTAGCCAGTGAGGCTCAGTTAAAAAAAAAAAAAAATTTAAAAAAAATATTGGCCCCAAAGTATGGTTTTATTTCACTGCTTTTTCTTTTTATAAATTACCCACAAGGCGATTGCCAGATTCTTGGGAGCGTTTGTTAGCCAACATTCTTGTGAAGTATTTTGAAAGAAAACCATGTGTTCAGCAGCTCATGTGTGAAGCAGCTTGAAAAATGTTCTGAAATTGGAACATGTTGTGTATTTGCAAGTCACAGAGATGACGATGTAGCAGCTGGGGTTTCTTAGCAGGTGACAGGGAGAGGTAAGTGACAACTGCATGAAGTTTAATTGTAGACTCTTTATAAACTAGAGATGGCCTTGAGTACACGCGCATGGCTGGTGTTCCCACCAGGGAAGATATTCTAGGGTAAAACTTCTCTTTTTATTGGTAAGCTTCTTTACTACAGTGTTCTTATAGGGTTAAATGCAGTCCTCGTCAGGGTTTGAAGGAAGCTCATTCAGGTGGCAAGAAAATGTATTGACCATGAACTTGCAATGAGGCGAACTTCTTCTAGAGAATTAGGGCAAAGTGATGACAAAAGAAGAAAAAAAAAGAAAAATAGTCACAGATTTCCTTTTTTGGGTCGTTACTCTTTACAGTGCTCTGGGGATTGTGAACATGGGAAGTCTACAAGGCAGAACCATAGGCTGGAGCCCAAAATGCTATTTCCCATGTTGTGGCTGTCTTTTTACCTGAAGCTTCCCAGTCTTGAAATTTAGCTCGTGCAAAAAGATCAGTTCTAATATCTGTGCCTTGTGCTGTGCTCAGAGTTTCTAGGGTGTAATGGATGCCCGTTACGTGCAATTAACTTTAACTAACATTAAAGCACGGGTGAAGCTCGTTCAGCTTACAGAAGGAGCTTAGAATGAGGAGCAGGGAAGCATGTGGCTGTTGTCCTCTTGTCCTGTCGTTGAAGGGTTCCAGTTAGATCCAGCAGTCTTTTTAGTGGGATGATTTAAGAAGAATGATATTTTTCTGCTCTGCTATACCCTCTACTTCTCTCTAAAAGCCAGAGCCAGAAGCACAAGACAACTGAAAATTAACGCTTGGAGTGCCAGTATTGTTTAGTATTTAACCAAATTGAAGGCTACGCATGCACGTCTTTAGTCAGCAGTTTGATTCTTCCGCGAGGACAGGAACCCCACAAGCTTGAAGAATTGTCCATAGGCTTGGCTTCTTCATCCAGAGTTTTGCCAGCTCAGCGGGTCTTTTTGCCTCTGAAAAATTATTAGCTGAAAAAAGCATGCTGGCGCTTCAGTGAAAGGCTGTGGTTTGGAGCACTCCGACCAGTCAATGACTTAAAAACTTCACTCAAGCTGGGGGAAAAAAGAGAAATATGCTGATATGGCAGCTATTTATGTTAAGCTATTTATGTTAAGCTATTTATTCATGGAGTCTGCTGCCTATGGCCCCGACACAGCTGAAGGTTAGAATCCGAATGAGGAAAGGTCTTGATGGGCTTTCCTCATTCTTCACGCCCTGGAAGTCCGAGGGATAGAGTTTTGTCGGTCCAGAGAAGATCAACCCAGAAGAAAAAAGTCTAGAAAACATTCACCTGATTCATAATGTTTCACCTAATGTGGAATGAAGAGTATGCCCTCAAGAAGGAGATGGAGGTACCAGTCCTGGCTGAGAGACAAGCAAAAGCACAGACCATTTGTGGCTGACCAGGTGATTTGATGTCTCCTGGATATACTGTCTGTTTTGCATCAGAAGTTTATTAGCTTAATTAAAACCTTTCACTGAAGAGGCAACCTACAGTCCTGGACTAGTGTTATATACATGTCAGTTTACTTCTACACATAATATTTTGGAGGCAGAGATGTCCGAACCTCCTGAGCTCTCCTTCCATGAGAGTGTTGGACAAGTCAAAGGTTCCAGCAGATCAACAGATTCTCCTGGAAACTTGCTGTTCTTTAGATGAATGTAGCTTTTTAAGGCTGTAGCAATATCTGCCCCTTCTGCTGCATGGAGGCTTTGGTTTAATTATTGTAGTTAATTATTTTAATGACTTAATTGCTCATCGTAAGTCACTAGCTGGCTATGTGATGTTCGATGCTAGAACTTTACTTAAAATGTGAGACAACTGTTTTCCCCGACTCCTCCTATTCTTTTCTTGTAGGAATCACCCTACAATTGCTCCAATGTTTTTCTTCTCTGTTTGAGCTATCAGATCAGCAGTTCAAACTTCCCAGGAGTCTCTGAAAAGCAAATTTAATTTGTACCTGGATTTTTTTTTTTCCTCAGTCTCCAGAAGATAATTATCTAGCTGGTCTCTGAGTCCCTGTTTGGATAATTGCACTTACAAGGAGGCCTATAAAGAAAGGGTGAGGGGCACAACAGGGACTGTTGGACATCCTGAAAACGCCTTGCCTTTCTGTCTTACCTTTTCCTCTCTGCAGAATAAAAACAGGAGTTTAAATCCTAGGGTGTATTTCTAAACTGATTACTCACAGCTTCAGGAAAAAGTTTGGTCAGGGTTTGGGTGATAGCATCCTCTCTGTTCACAAGCTGCTTCTCCTTAGCAGGTGTTTTAAGCACAAAGCTGACCTTGTTTAATGGGTATTTTTGCTCATCTTTCATACAGGCTGCCATTGAGAGAAATGCACAGACTGTATTGTTTTAAAAAGTGTTAGCACTGTTTCTAGTATTGTCTTCTTAGCTTGGGATGAAGGATTTTTAGAAGCATTTCCTTCTCACCACTGACACTGTGTGTTCACTTTTGCATGCCACTTGCCTTCTGAGCAAAACCAAGACGAATCTATTTCTCTTTCATTTCTAAAGGATTTCTCCTTCCAATTTCCATGATCTAGTACAGCAAATTGTTTTCAAAGGCATTGGGAGAATACTTATGTTGTGTTTAGCTGCACCAAAAGAAAATAGTTCTGACTAAATATAGTATGTATCTGGCAATGTAAAAGAAATCTTAGGAAGAAAATGATGAAACAAATTCAAAGTTTGCATTGTAGCTATGTAACTCCACTTGCTTTCTCCAGCCAACAGTTTACATCTTCCAGATGCAAGACCCTGTTTACATTGGATATTTTGTTTTAATTGTTTTATTTTTTAGAAAAAATCTAGAAATTAGACCTTGAGTCCTGTTAGTAGCAAAAAATAGAAAATGTTGTGACAATAGATTTGAATAATCTTTTGCAACTTCTGGGCGATATTAACTGCGGTACGAATCATCCTCTAAAGAGCTGCTAATTTTGCATTCTCCTCAAGAAGTGAGTTAATAATATGTTCTAAATGGGCTTCCTATTCTTGGCACCGCAAGGCATTTTCTCCCCTGTCTTTGTTTTAGAGCTGAAGCTCTTGAAAGCGAGGGCTGCCTCTGTTCTGCATCCCATGCCACATCGCTTGTCCTTTGTTAGCCTGGGTAATAATAGCAGTAGTCTTCTCTTCTTGTCGGTTGATAAGCACTTGAGCTGCATCTCAAAGCAGAGCTGACTTTTTGAATGACTGCTCACCCAAGCAAATAAATAGCTCGCCTCTGCGTAAGATCCTTGGATGTCAAGGCAGCCGGTGCTGTGGAAGTGGGGTCTTGCTTCGTGCTGAGCAGAGCTGGCACACCTAGCGTGCCGCAGGCTTTTCAGCTGGCTGAAGAGGTGTACAGTGATTTACTAACCTCATCTAGCTCTAAACTCTGCGGAAGTGGACACATTTATGGTATATAAAAGGTTATGAAGAAAACAGTCAGGCGTTGCTTGATAGATGGCGTTTTGTTTGGGGTTTTTTTTACTGGAGTTCTCACCCCCTGTAAATCCTATGGCTTTGATGCGATACCCTAGAAACACCCACAAACCCACTCGCCAGGGTTTCCAGAGACAACATCACTGCCAATTTTACCATTTAGAACTTACTTTTCGAAAAGACCTCCAAGACCTAAATTTTCCGGGAGGACCAGAATAAGCAACACTTTTTCCAACCCGGCTGGTATGAGTTTTCCTGATATCAGTTTGGTGAGGTAATTCTACATCCAGATGGAGATAGGGTCACTGCCCCAATAGCCCAATAGGCTAAAGGGGAGGTTTGGTACTTAAAACGTCTTCTCTCCAGCCATTTGCAGCACACTTCTGGGAAAAAAAAACACTAACTGTGTCTCACTTGTATATGTTGTCTATTTTTCCAATACTACCTACAAGTACATACTCTTTCTCTATGTGTCATATATAAAAATATATATGTATATGTATGGAGAGATATATAACATATATATTATATGCAGATATTTGTTTTTACAGCATATATAATATGTGCAATCATATTATATACAATATCTGTAAAAGGAAATTCTGTTCCAGTGTTATTTCCCAGCTGGAAACTTGTGGCAATGAATTTGCACGTGTGTGCCTCCTCCCTCCTCCTCCAAGACCAGGGATGGCAACTCACAGTGGGTCTCCTGCATCTCAGAAGAGATCTTGGATGTGCCAAGTTTTAGTCCATGTGGCCGAAGACAGCTGAAGACTCATTATTCCTTGCTAAACGTTCTGCTTTAGCTCTCGTATGTGCTTTATTCCCACTTCTGCAGCATGCTTTCCACTTCATGGAGCCTAACGGACAAAGGAGAGCCTTTCCTTACTTGTTCAGCTGGAGCCCACTGGAATCAACATGAACTTCTGCTGCCACTGCTGTTAGGAAGCCCAACGGGCCTCTAGAGTTGTAATCATCCCTCAGGATACCTCATTTTCCTTTATGCTCTCTATCTTCTAGGAACTCCAAGTGTGACTAATAAGCAATAGCCAGCCAAGTTCAACTCTTCACTTCCGTTAGGCCCATGACCCCCATTTTGTTCTGGAATGTATTTATTAGTGTCATGGAAACAGGATCTCCGATTCTTTTCATGTTGCAGTGAACAAAGAAATCCAGAAAGCATTCATGACTATTTAGAAGGGCAATTTAGTGGAAAAAAATTCCTTCTATCAGTGAAGAACTAACTGCAAAACTGCTGTAAGAGGTTCATCAGCCATCTGAGGAATAATTGCATTGTTCGCAGTGATACAGCCTGGAATAAAGATGACAACTTCATGCTCCAAAGCACGAACCTATTTACCATCCAAGGTCAGGAGGAATTTTTTCCATCACTTAGGCACGTTACAGAAATGTCAACTTTTAGTTGACATATCAGACATTGGCCACAGAGCAACTAGACAGCCACTTGGGGTAAAACAGGCGTCTGCTTTCATATGTCTGGGGACACGGTTCTGCAGGGAGACAGTGTCCGACCAAATATACCCCAGTCAGAAGACAAGCACAGACCTTGAGGAGTTGCTGCACTGCTCTGGTATTTCCGTAGCCAGCATGTTTATCATCTTTGAATGTTTCCTCACTAACCCCTCTCATCCACAAGAAGAGCATGGAGTGTTAGTCAGCGCTTTTAAAGCCTTACATTTCTTCTGAGCGTGAAAAGCAGAAACAACTCGCATGAGGACCTAACCAGTCATCATTTAACCTAACCTGCATGGATGTGCTCCCACTTTCTTCCTTAGTCTTCTTCCTTGTTTCTTGAGTTGAACGTCTCTGAAATCTTTCCATTCTGAATTATTTTTCTTCTGATTCCAAAGTTCAATAAGTAGGATTAAGGCTCAGTCTGGCGAGATACTGGGAGAAGAGCTTTTACTTCCAGCACAAGCTAGATTTTACAATATATAGATACAAACTGGCTACCCGTGGCCTTCTTCAGAGCGTCCAATCTTCCTTCCTTCTGCCCCAAGATGACAGGGGATGAAAGTGCTACCCAGGTTTGTGCTAATTAGCAAGTTGAGAAACGTTGGAGAGTTGGGGGCCAAACTCTTTCCATGCCAACTTCTCTTCTTACCTCCAAAAAGCAGAAAGAATCTCAAGGGCTGTTCTAGGTGGGAAACTAAGAGTAGTTTCCTCCACCAAGAGTGAATCCAGAAGATCTACACCTTCTTCCAGCCCCATCACAAGCAAGAGAGAGCACAGTGGGGACAGGTCTGGAGAAAATGGCACTGCACTCCGGTATTCCTCACCAAGGAAGAGGCACCCATAGCCAGGCCTAAGACCCTCAAAGGGAAGGATTCTTTTCTTTCCTGCACTTTCTTCATTTTCACTGAGAAGATTTCTTGCCCCGGAACTTCATCTAAATTATGGTTAGGAAGAAACTAGTAATGAGCACTGGCCCCAGGAAGGCCAGTTAGGAGATAGAGATCTATTTCAGGATGTTTCCATCACGTATGAGAATTCCACGTTCTTCCTCGTAGGCCCATAGCTGGTGGAGACACAGACACAAGTTTGCATGTTCGATCTAACAGGCAGAGGCAGCGAACAAGGAAGAGTTACCACAGCTGTCAAAGCCACTGAGTGCTGTGTATTGGATACATCTTGCTGAGCTTGTCCTGATATCTTCAGAGTGGTGTTCAACCACCAAGTGACAGAAAATCAATGTCTTCCTTGTAGGGTGGGTTGGGTCTCTTGCCTTCATTCTTCCAGCAGCAGCAGTGGCAGTGTGTTTCAAAATAAGACCCTAACAACTCCCAGGTTCGCCCAAAACAACTGATATTCCCTCCTAAACAAACAAGGAAACAAGTTCTCCTGTTGGTGGAGTTGTCTGCCCAGAGCCCTAATGGAAGCCCTTGATTTCTTGCAGACACTGATGAGTGCCACTCAAGCCCCTGTCTGAATGGAGCTACCTGCGTTGATGGCATCGACTCTTTCAAATGCTTATGCCTTCCCAGCTACGGAGGGGACCTGTGTGAGATCGGTACGGCCTACCTGGCTTCAGCTAATCTTACTAACTGCTGCACTACCTCGTTCCCACCCTACCCCCCAAAAAAGCTGATCCCAAGTGCTTCCGTCAGTCCTGCCCTCATCTCAGTGAGCTAACCTCTAACAGCAGCTTAAAATACAGCAGGGAAAAGCTTTGAGACTTTTGCTTATGTATTTTGATTACTTTGTCCATCACAGCACCATGTCCTGTAAGATTCCTAAGCAGGAGCTTCTGGTGTCTTCTTCAGCTTTCTCTTCTTTAAGTTTCTGTAGTGAAGCTCCGTGCAAATTGTAATGGTGTTGATCACAGAAGTCGCTGTCTCTTTGGGTCAAGGGTCTTTCTGTTCATCTGTAACAGTAGGGAAACATCTGAGTACATCTTCACCCCAGGCAAACTTTCTCTGCTAGACTGGAATTTCATGGAAGGATGCTTCAACTGAGCCATGTAAAATGATTGTGTTTCTCTCTGTGAAGATGCAGCTGAGAGAAGCCTCGTTCACTCCAGGAATCTCCACTGATTTGACACAGCATGACATTTTTGTCATCTCTTCAACATGGCTTCCTGTGGCAAAATCAGCAGGGAATGTATATCTTTGAGAAAACGTGAACTGACCTATTTTTTCATCAAAATTAGGTACTCTGACCTGCACTAATACTTCTTTTTGTTTCTACAAGGAAAGAAAAAAAGAGCTGTTTTTTTTCTTAAAGCTGATGAAAGTCCAAACTTTTATCAGCTTAGCTGATGGGAAGCTCTCCTGCCTTGCTCAAACAAAAGAGGAAAAAGGTTGCAGTGTCTTCTTCACCGTGGCACGAGTAATATATATTGGATTTTCTCCTCCCCTTTCTCTGCATCTCTCTTTATGCTTCCAAAATGATCATATGGAGTAGATCATAAGGAGGCAGCTCAGGATCATTGGACGATCTGTCTTAATATCACTTTCCTAATGCAACTTAATCAGCCTCTGGTTTCCCCATCCCTGCTACCTGTTGTTGAAGATCCCTGTAATAGAACAAGAGACTTTCTACCCTGCAGCCACTTACGACCCTGTTTGTTCCAAGCCAGACTTAATTTCCTCTCTTCCATGATTTATGGGCTGTGATGCGTGGGGCCCATAGCCTGGAAGATGCAAGAGGAAGCCAGTGCCCCGAATTCAGTGGTGAATGTAAATCTTCATTATTCCCATGAGGAAACCTTCCATTCTATAACATCTCCAAGAATAGCAGGATACTGTAGGTGAGCTCTGCCATCTGTGCACACAGCCAGTCCTTCCTGTCACCACGACAGTGCCCCTACCAGGGAACAAGCTTTTCGTCATTCTTTTCCAAGACGATTGCTGTCACATTTCCCCGTAAGTAACAGCTATGTGGGAAAGAATGGCCTCTCTCCTAGGAAACGTCCTGCTGAGGTTCTGTGCCATGTGCTGTCCCATTCCCAGGCTGTGATGACAAGGAGTGGTATTCAAGCTGCTGGAAAAAAGTCTTAAATCTCAAAAGACAGAGCGTGTTCTCTGCTCACCTTGTGCAAGCGATCTGCCTGCAAAGATCAAGAATCCTTAGAGCTTCAGCTACTTCCAGATAATCCATTTGATCTGTTGAAGAAGGCAGAAAATGTTTTTAATGCCTCAACTAATTACCAACCCTTCCAACAACTATGAAGCATCTACAGTCTCCAGCTGGAAGGACACCAGAAGGCTGTATTAGGAGGAATTAGTGTGATTGAAGGTGACAAGTGCTTTGACCTACTAAGTTTAACAACAGAAGAAAGAAACTGACTCCAGAAAACCTTACCGGAAAGGGAGAGATGCATGAGGACTCATGAAAACCCACCACTCCAAGAGCAGCAACTGCCTGAGAAAGAATGGTAGATTGGGCATCTGAAAGGCTGAGATGAAACACATTTCATTTTCTGTTTCCTTTGGTCAGATGGAGCAGACACGTGGTGTTGCATTGCATGGGAGCTGCTGAAGGTCTTTTCTGGTGGTTTCTCCATTCGCCTCTGCTCTCCCCCATCTGTGGTTTTATTTTTTTTAATTAATGGGTTCAACTCTTCAGCGTTTCTCAGATGATAAAAGATATTCTGAAAAGTTAAGAAATTTTTGTACTTCTCTAGCAGCTTCCAAGTTTTTTCCTTGAGATTTCATTTCCTCTCTTCACCATGGTAAGTTCCTGTCTCCATCTCTTTTCTCCCACCTTGGTAGGTTTGCTTCTCTTCCAGAGCCCCAGCGATGCGACCACCAGAACCTGGGCTCTCCTCCCCTCTTTCCTTTTCAACACATACATGTTGACTCTGGGCATCTGGATTCAGGTTTTGGAGTTTCTTTCCAAAGCAAGAAAACTCTGCAGGCCAGCACAAGTGGGAAGAGAGGGGTTCTTGCTTGGTCAGTTCGTCAAAAACAGAGTCCAGGAACATGACACGGGGACTGAATTGCTCGGGAATAAGTTTGTATCACTCAAGTTTTCCAGTAGCACTGGTCACGTTACTGCAAACATGGGGTCTTCAACACAGGTTCCCCTCTCTGCATGTGTCTTGGATGCCTTCTGATCATTTTCCCTGGGATTTCCCACAGTAAACAGTGTCAGGGCTTGCTTTTTAGTGGAAGTGACCATGTGTTGTCCTATGCCATGAGACCATGAGCTGCTAAGAGGTGAGTTGGAAGACTTCCAGACCCAGGCACCAACTCCTTTTCATTTCTCCTTTGTGTGTTTCAGACCTGGAAAACTGTGAGGAAGGCTGGACCAAGTTCCAGGGCCACTGCTACAGGCACTTTGAAGAGAGAGAGACTTGGATGGATGCAGAGACCAGATGCCGACAACATCAAGCCCACCTGAGCAGTATCATCACCCCAGAGGAGCAAGAATTTGTGAACAGTGAGTGTTGAGGGCAGCCTAAGACTGGGCAGGGGTCCATCTGTTGGATTTTGAGTCTATGGGCAGATTTATCCAAAATTATGTAAAAACCACAATTTTCCCCCCTAGAGCTCAGATAGTTCCTAACGAGGCCTCACCCTTGCGTGGGAGAGGAAGAACCGTCCAGCCGTGAGACAGAAGAGGGCCCTTTCTCGGCTAGGACAGATCTTTGCTCTTACCACATTGCTGATGCGGCTTGTTCACAAGATGTTCACTTGTTGCAACAAGTGCGGTGACCCATGCCAGCATGGGTGGCTCCATGTTGAGTGGGGAGGGAGGCGGACAAGCATGATCGGGGAAAAAAAGGACATCAGGGGCTAGCGACTGAGACGGAGCTGAATGATCCAAAGGCTCCAGGGCCAGAGACAGCTGAGATGGCAAAGAAATGCTTCCAACAAGGTGTAGGGGAACCATGACGCACTCTTCTCTCCCCCTCCGGTTCTTCCAGGCCACGCGCAGGACTACCAGTGGATCGGCCTCAGCGACAGAGCTGTGGAGAACGACTTCCGCTGGTCCGACGGGCACTCCCTGGTGAGCCTGCAGCCTGCGGCGCGGGCGGGCATTAGCCTTCGGTGGGAGGGAAGAGGTTCCTGTTGGGTGGGAAGAGCCTCATGAGTTACACGCTGAGTGCTTGGGTTGGGCATTGACTGGAGGCAACCCTAACCTTTGTAGGGCTCATGGTTTTTCCAAGCCTCTAGTGAAGCTGGTCAGCTAAGCGCCGTTGTGATAGAAATAACCGCTGTAGTAGCAGTGCTGGCAACCCATGGTCTCTGCTGGTGAGATGCACGGGGGAGGCAGCAGCAGGGATGAAGGAGGGAATAGGAGAGAGGAGGGCTCAGCCTCAGGCGAAGGGCTTTCCTCTCTCGACAGCAATTTGAGAACTGGAGGCCCAACCAACCCGACAACTTCTTCGCGGCGGGTGAGGACTGCGTTGTGATGATCTGGCACGAGCAAGGCGAATGGAACGACGTCCCCTGCAACTATCACCTCCCTTTCACCTGCAAGAAAGGAACAGGTCAGCACCCTGCGCCGCGCCGGCAAGGATGGGGAGCTCAGGCAGCGGCTGCGGGGCTGCCAGGGCCAGGGCTTTGTGTCTCCAGGCAGAGCCGTCACTCCCGTACGCCAGCTCCATGCCCACCATGGACACAAGCGGCTG